TGCAGTTGGCAGACATATTATATACATACACACATATATACATACTATATATACACGCAGATATAGTAGATAAATTACTATTCTCCTGGGATGAGTTCACAACTTCCTTTTGGATCCATGATGATTCAGATAGGTAGCTACCAACTGACTGGAGGATGCTATAATAAATATAGATGGCATGAGCTGGGGAAGGAAGTAATGAAGAGTATTTTGCCAGAGAGGAAATATCCCTGATATTATAATAGAATATAAATATATATTCTATTATAATATAATATAAAGAATGGGAATGTCCTATAAAGAACGGGAGCTAGTATGAGCTAGCCAGCTGCTGAAGGTGGAATCAATCCTGGTTGTTTGAGATGGAGTGCATTCTTACAATTTCACTGACATCTGATAGAATTTTTCGGCCGGAAAAAGGGATGAAAAACTATACGAGGAAAGATTCTGTTTTGATGCATACTTTCTTCCTTGCAATGTCATTGAGAAAGAATAGTGATTTATTTCTGCCTTCTGTTTGAGGAGGATATTTTTCCAATTTTTTTTTCCTTTTTTTACATCAAGTAAATCCAATAGCCTAAAAAATGGTTAACTAATAACACTAAAATTTGTATTTAAAATCTAGTCCTGTTCTGTAATTATATTTCATATGCACAGACGAAAATAAACTAGGGAAAGTACCTATTAACCTGTTTGCATGTATAATTGCACAAGTTTGATATTACTAGGTAACCTTTGTAAATAGCTAGCTTTGAGTTTATTCAAAGAGCTCAAAATTTTGAATACATAAATAACAATAACAGGAGATACGCATTTGATTTTTTTATTTTGTTCTTTCCTTGTTTCTCGCTGCTAGCATTATTCAGAAAGCCCTGGCTTTATTTGGCCATCCATGGAAACATCTAAAAGATTTGACTCTTATATCATTTGGGTGCAGTAATGAATAAGAACTGACATCAAATATCAATATTATTGGCCCAGCTAAATGGTAGCTGACATCAAGCAGGACTGCTGAAGAGGTAAACAAAATTGAAATTTCGTTTTGGTATAAAAACTGTCTGACATTATTTGTCCTTCAGTAAATCAATGAAAGACCATCCTGAAATGTTGTTAGCATTTCTACGTGGGGAGGGAAAGCTTGATACTGATATTAAGTATGTTTTGTTGTGTTCGGGCCTTTATGACCATAATTCAAGAAATATTACTTATTTAAAGGAAATATGGTGGTTGCTCTCCAAATGTGATGAAGGCAAGGTGTGGAAAAGATCAATTACAAACAGCCAAAAGTGAATGATACCTCTTTCATCTGTTTAAACACAAACATGCATACAGGCACAAGGGATCCAACTTAGTTACAAATCTGTAGTACCTCCATTGAAATAAATGTAGCTACTACAGAGTGATGACAAGTCCTGGCAGATTGAAAACATGCTTTTATTAAGATGAAACATCAAGGTTTTGGGGGGGGGGGGGGAACGCTTTTTTGTGAAATTCCTAATAGGTAATTGTCACATTTTTTCTGCCATTGCAGATCAAAAACATGGATATACAGGGAGTTTGGTTCAAGCCCCTATAACAGCTGGGAAACTGGGGAAGGGATTTGGCCTCCCAGATGCAGTCCATCTGGGAAGGTGAAGTTCTGCCGTCCATGTTAGCCCAGTTATATGCAATCTGCTGTGCTAGTAAGGTTAGTGTGTTTGGGGCCATTCAATCACAACTCTTAAAGGGAATCTGAGCCTACAGTGTAACTTCCAAAGGACACTTTCATACATACATACTTAAATATATGGTTTTGTAAACAACAGTGGCTTCACTTTTGGAGGGCAGTGCTACTTTCTACACATTTGTCTGTAAAATAAAGTGTTGTAGTTACATGGGAGTAAAAAATTCATATTAACTAAAAAAATGTATGTTTCCCATTTGTAAATTATTGAGGGAATTTGCTCAAATCTTCCAAAACAATTTTGCCTCTAGGTACAGAGCAAACCTAGAAAAATAAAGACATTTACAAGCTGTGTTTGAATTACAGGGGAGCTCAGGAGGGCTGAGCCCCTCCATAAGAGGTGAGAACCCCCCCCCATGGGCTGGTCAGTCCTTGGCCTGCCCCATGCCCTTCTAAGCAGCCCAGGCAATGGTGGTTCCTTCTGGCTGCAACCACAATACAGGCAGGGACCCATGAGCACAGCCCCAAACCCAGCCATTTTTTTTGCAGACTCCCCCAGGTGTCAAAGTGTAATCAGAACCCTGCTTACAAGTATCTGACAACATTGTGTTATAACAATTTTGACATAACCAGAACCTGCTAAAATAATGTGAAAGTCTGAGCCAGATATTTTCCAAAGACTGTAACATAGGCATTTTTAAAGAACAGGCCATATTCTCTGGTGCCTAAATAGGAGCTCTTTGGAAATGGGATTTGTTGTAAAAAGTCCAAGGGCTGATGTTAGTTGATGAGCAGACTTGAAAATTTGGATCCTGAGGTCTATCCATCTCTTTTAATAGTAAATACCACCTGTAGTTTCAATAGTGGGGAATATAATTCATTTTTTAAATGTTATGTTAAGTGCATGCTGCTCCAGATTGCATAATAGGAATGTATGTGATACATATTGCAATTATATGTAATTAACATATACTTAGAAATTGATACTACACATGGTGTTTTAGGCAGCTGAAGGGGATAACTGTCAAAAGTGATTAGGTGATTTAGGAGTCTAAGTAAGATTTTCTAAAGAAATTCAGGAACTTAGAAGAAAATGGGGCTTAGGAGCTTCTTGGAAGCTCCTGGCTTTTGGTCATAGTGACTAGGTCATCTGCCCTAGAGCCTATAATCTTGGAACCTGTATTTCCCAAGCCCTGAAGTCCACCAAAAATTCAGACAAGGTTCTTCTGGATCCTTTGGCAAAAGTTTGTCAAATCTGATAATTTTCAAAGGAAAAGTGATGGGTTCGATACCGTTTTCCAATGAAGCTCTGAGCCATCTCTAAGAAGTAGGTGCCCTAACCTCCAATTTTGTTACTGAGGAAAGGGAGAGGAGCAATGTGTGCATGTCTCATTCTACAGAAATTCCATCCTGGGCGTAAGAAATCTTTCCAGTGAAAGGCTTGCTTAAAATGTCAAAGTTTCTGTCAAATCTTTTGTTTTTGACACATCTGCATTTCCTGACCTCCATCCTTCCCAAAAAAAGCCTTGTCAAAAATATCCAAACCAACCCAACTGCTGAGTACCATTAAACACATTAATATTTGAATGGGTATTCAGTAGAGAGAGAAAGATAGAAAAGAATCTTGTGGTGCTATTTTTAGTTAAAAAAAAGTTTCTCTGGCTATGCTGGCCAGCCAATTAGACAAACAAAATATCCGATATCAGCTTCAGTTGCCTAGTCTTCCTAGTACCTGCAATAAAATTATGTAAGTCCAAGCTATATGTATGTATAGCTTCTGAAATAATACTCCTCCCTCAATTTAATCAACCCTGCACTAGCTGTTTCTATCTTTACTAATTCAATCATTGAGAGTGTCAACCAATGATTTCAACCTACAGTTTAATGCCAGCTGTAATATTCTTTATTAAAATAACATGCTTATCTGGAAGATTATCAGCATCCAGTTCCCCAGCTTCCTGTTAATTATTGTAGGTCATGTAGGGGATTCAAGTCTCTTAGAATACTTGCAGCACAGAGGCCATCCTGTACCTGTCCTTGCTGTAATAAAGCTCTCACTCACCATTAAAATTACTGTAAATAGTTACCTAGACTCTATTATGTCTAGGTCACCATGCTGCAAAATACTGAAAGGCAAGGTTAGGTAAATGTTCAATAGCATTTAAAAATATGGAGTGGAGACAATCTTGGGTTTGGGGACTTGGGTAGCCTTCCCTAAAGTGAGGAATAAACCTGACTCTACTAAGTTTTAATAGAAGAGCCCCTAAGGTTTCTTTCCAGTCACACAGGAGATTGGCAATAGGAGGCAGTGGAGCAGCCGCTGCTTTTAGTCAAAGGAGACTATTCAGAGCTTCCTATTACTCAATATCCTGAAATGAAATAATAGAAAGAGTAGGATGGGCACTCGGAACAACTACTAAGAGATGCATCAAGAATGAGAAAAGGGAATGAGTCCCTTCTCTCGTATGAACCACCACTTCCGTCACCACGTGTGTGCCTGCCTAAGAATTAACAACCCTTCAAGACGAGAGTGGGGTGCGTAGGAAGGATGGGGTAAACAGAAAGGTCACCAGTTTCCTTTCCTTTTGCTGAGGCAAGCAGACCTACTTGAACTTCTTTACTGCATGCAGTAAAAAAACCCTATTTTTTGGGGTAATGTGACTGGGGCTATCTTTTCCTCTACCATTAACTGAAAATGTTATAGCATCTTCTTTTCCCTTTACTCCTTTAGTTACAGTGAATCCTGGAGGGGCTTATAATCCTCATAAGGAGGATCATTCCTAGTTTGGAGCTTGGTTCTATGTTTTAAACATGCCTCTCATGCATTTTGGACCACTAAAATCAATAGGTTTCCTAAACCAGCTTCAAAAGGCTTTGGATCAGGGCTGTTAAGCATATAGTATGCTGGTTTGTGAGATGCATAATGCTCTCCCAGGAGGTTTATCCAATAAAGGGACACAGGCTTCTTCAGATGTGACACAGTTGCATTTTCTCAGTAATCCCACAAAAAAGGGTGCAAAATATCTTTTATAGATAAGAACAATACATCAGCAATTCAGGAAATAATTAGGTCAGCACAAAATGTCATCTAAACAAATTAACCCTATGATCGTGCTAAAAAGTATAGCTCAGAGAAATCTTGCACTGAGAGAAACAGAACTTGGCCACAGGGATGAGGCTTTATTATAACCATTACTGAAATTACTCTGGTCATTGTGCGTGTGAGGCACACACATTATGAAATGTTTCTACAGGTAGATCCAACATTGCTATTCATGCAAGTCATTTACAAGAGAGGAACTTGGAAATAAATTAAACCTTCACAGTTAGAACTTACTCTCATGTTGAATGTGGCATGATTGCATGAATGCAGATGACCATAAAAAGTATGAGCACAAAGACCCTAGGAAAGAAAACAAAAGAAAATAATCAAATGGGTTATAGAACATCCTTATAAATACAGAGAGCTTGTTTGTTTTGTCATGCGCAAGCACAGGTACATGCTATTTGGTGTGTTAAAAAATTAGCTTTTGCAGGCACAAAGTGAAAAAAAAAGTTCAATATAGATGAGGATACATATCTTCATTCAGGATTGCAGATAATAGAAAATATGTTAAATATAATGCTAATAATAACTTACAAAGATGTTATGTACAAGCCATATGACATTATGGAAATAGAGTTCAAGCTTCTTAAAAAGTGCTTTAATAATGATTCAATATAGTGTAGAGTCTTTTTAGACATTACATACACCCCTTTACCATCTTTATGAATAAATCGCCAGCATGAAAAAGACTGCATGTATGCCAGCCTGATCTTTTGCAGGAGCTCTAATTTCCCTTTTCCAAACACCCAAAGTAAACCCCTCCCCCCTTCTGCTTCAGTCTAATACTGGGGATATTTAGCAAACTCAAGGATCAAGACATATCTCCTTCCCTGTGAAGGATTGATAGTCCCATGATCCATGGTTTTTGCTGGTCATCTGCAAGAACCAAGAAGGAATATTTGTCTTCCCAACTTTCTTGAAGCATAACTTACAGCATTACTATGGGAGTATTTTTTAAAGTGGTACTGGCTAACGGTGTTTTTTGCTGACATTTAGAAATATCTCAGGTATTGGTGGGAGGGTCTTGTTCTCCCACTCAGAATCATATTGATTGATCAATTTGGGGTCAGGAAGGAGTTTTTACCCAAGTCAGACTGGTAAAGGCTCGGTGGGGGTTCTATCCTCTATAGTGTGATGCCTGGTTTTCTTCCTGGGATCCTCTGAGCATATATTGACTAATAACTTCTCTGCCATTGCTTTGGCAGGTCCTTGGTGAAAAATAACTCCAAGGATATAAAATCTAGTTCATGTTCTTGCAGCACTGTCTACCTACACTGTCACTCTACACTGCATTCCTACTGGGGCACCAACTTATATTTCCAAACTTTTTTTGTAATAGTAATGGAAAACATACTTGGTTCCTGTAAAATAACTTACTGCATGACAGGATGAAATGGTCCTGCATAGCAACACTGAAAAAGTAAACTCAGAGGTGCTTTCAGTTTTGTTATACAATATATCATAAACAGAAATGAAATTTAATCGCTAATAATAGTTCAAAACAATCTAATATACTCTTCCAAATTTAAAATTTGACTATTCCCTTCAACAATCCCAGGAGAGCTAAGATGTCTACTCTAATTGCATATATAAAATCTATATAACCAAACCTGCAAACAGTAACTGCTGAGCAGTACAGCTTGCTACCGTGAACAGCAACATTGAAATCAAATGGTAATTAGTGTTTTCTGGAAGAGACTTTATGTTAAGAAAATGTTGAGTTTTCAAAGTTAAGCACACAAAACTAAGTCACTAATGACAATAAACCATCTCACTCAGGGCTGTACATTTTGCTTTCCAATCTTTTTTATCATTTGATTGGGTAGTAGTTCATAATTAGAGTCCTCTTTCAAGGTACAGTTCATCTATATGCAGGCAGTCAGTATAAGGTTCAGGCTTAAAATTCATTTAAGTAAATATTTTGAATAGCCTTTGTACAGAGATGAATTTTACCCTCAGCTTGCTGACTAAGCCATTAGGGGTGAATGAGCCAGGAGTTTCAAAACACAGCCCTTCGTGGGGCTGTCATAGCAATGGTATGGCTTTGCAAAATCTTTTTGGAAGAGTGCCTTTACAGTTTGTATAACTTGGCTGCCACAATGTGAAAAATACATTTTAAATGCCTAAAACCTGCTTCTACTAGGTTTGCAGTAATATTCCCTGCTGAAGCCTAGGTGCAGTCAGAGCCATTGCTGAACTCATAGGGTATGTGCAGACATTTGCCGCAACTGATCTACGATCATTCAGCTTGCTTTAAGCTGCATGATCATCAGGGATCCTGGTTTTCCCTGATAAATAAATCACAAATTCTCTAATAAACCCCCCAAATCAGTGATTAAAATGAAAGGTCTCTCACTCCCCACCACAGCCCCCCAACCCTGCTGGTGCCCCTCACTCCCCACCCCTACAACTCCCTGCCCACCCCACCCAGCCCTGCGGGTTGGTGGCCCTTAGCTGCCAGGGCTATTGGGCCAAGGACCCAGGTCCAGAGCCCCCTGTCCTCAACAGGAGGTGGCAGCTGCTGCAAGACAGTGGAGCCTGGCTCCCCCACTGCTACCTGCCTGCTGTGGCCTTGGCTGGAGGGGGGGGGTAGGGGATGGCTCCCTGCTGCTGAGTGCACTCCCGGGGGAAGCAGGGGGACCTGTGCCCCCCAGATCAGTGAATGGGGTGGGAGCAGGGGTAGGCAAAGGCTGCCCACTGTGGGCTCAGACTTCCATCCTGCTTTCCTCCCCTGGGACCTCCACAGCCCAGCGGGTGTGACCCAGTGCTGCAGGGAATAGTGAGGCTGTGCAGGGAAGCTGCTTGCCACTGTGAGCTCCATGCTGCCGTGGTGAGGTGCCCCCTGCATGCGCAGCAGCAGTGAGGGGCACAACCCCATACTGCCACCCCCGCTGCTTTCACGCATGCAGGGGACACCTCGCAAGGGCACCACAGAGCTCCCAGTGATAAGGAGGTCAGTGTGCATTCCCACTGTTCCCTGTCATGCTGGGTTTCACTCACTGGGCTGCAGAGGCCCCAGGGGAGGACAGCAGGGTGGGGAGTTCAAGCCCACAGTGGGCAGCCTGGACCTGCTCATGCCCTGTGCACAGATCTTGGGGGTATGGGTCCCTCCTGTCCCCCAGGAGTGTGCACAATGGTAGGGAGCCATCCCTACTTCCTACGCCCTTGGACAGCTGTCCACAGCCCCATCCCACTCCCCACCAGGGCTGTGTGGCTATGCATTGTGGCCCTGGGTCCCAAGCCACACTTACTGCCCAGCTGGACAGCAGCACCAGCCCCAGCCTTGCCCAACTCCCTCTCTATGGGGGCCTCAATCCCTCTCCCACTTACCTATGGGAGCTGCTCTCCAGGCTGCCTGGTGGCCATGTGCATATACATACACATGGTGCCCACTGCCTGACTGCCTTCCTCCCACTCCCAGTTCCTTGCGGTTCCCCAGGGTGGAACTCTGCCAGCCTCCAAACAGGTCTTTGCAAAACTGCAAAATCCTGGGGTTTCTCTATTAAAATGAGAAATCCACATTTTCCTCTGGTAAATGAGGAATCTGTGTTTTTCTCTGTTTTCCTGTGGGAAACTAAAAACCTGGATCCCTGATGATCATTGCTCAGGAGCAGCCTGTGTACATGTTCACTATGAGAACCAAATCTAAGTAGGTTTGGGGAGAAGGGCATGTAGAACTGGGGAGGGGCCAGCAGATCCACAGAATTGGGGGTGTTGGCAGAATCAGGAGGGCTAGTGGGTTTTGGTGGAGGAGGTGGGTGTGCATTGCGGGGGGTGTTTGTCTTAATGTGTGAAGGGAGTCAGGGGGGCTAAAGATAGCCTGGTCAGGCTGGGGGGCTAGGAAGAGCACAGTCTTGGGGCTGGGGCAAGTGGCTGGACTTTCCCAGCCCTGGGGCTGCATTCTGAACACCTGAAGATATTTGGTAGATCAGGGCAACCTGTTCCAGATTCAACTTAGATCACCTCCTTAGGTGATCTAATTTAGATCACGATGGTGATTTTTTGCCCAATTTAACCTCCCCGAATGTCTGAATAGATCAGGACTTAGATAAACTAAACCCTATTTAGGTCGATTTAAATGTAACGTCTATACATACCTACAGGGTATGTCTGTACCAGATCTTTGACACATCTTGACCCACCAAAAAACAAGTCTGCCTTCCCATTCCTGTACTATGTGCACCTAAACTCTAACAACCAGGCAGAGCAGATGGGTGGAGGAGGGGGCAGAGAGCAGCACTGGTGCACAAATTCAGCACCCTTCTGAAGAATGGGTGTCAGGAACAGTAGCAGTGAGTAGGCAGGGCTCAGCAGGGAAGAACTGAATCTAGGATTTAGTTCAGTAAGGATGAATTTCTTTGCTCACCCAAAAGATTTTATGCCTTCTCTGGCTGAGGACTGAGGTGGCACAATTGATGTAAAGATTGTTTGCATTGCAGCACTTTACACTCGCTGGTTTATTGACAGTTCTTTTTGCCACCAAGAAAACAAATCTGTATGCTAGATATTTCATTGAACCACTCCTTTTACAAGAGTGGTAGAAGCACATATTTGAAATGCAGTACTGAATCTCATTGAGGGAAAGGATCGGAAAAAGAACAGAGCCTGCATCAATATTTTGAAGGATTCTCTATTTCAGGTACACTATGTTCCCCTGACATCATTGTCAAGATCTGAAAGAGCATCCTGTGATTGGGGACCCAAGAGTAAAAAGAAAAAAAAAAAAAGAGAAAGCGAGAGAGGGAGCACAATATTTAATATAGGGGTCTGCACTTATAAAAGAGATGTAACTTTATTCAGTTTTTCCCTAAGGTATCTACTATATCTGCAGGAGTATAGTAGTAATTGATAAACAGAACCATTGATCCTTGGTATTTCTAAAATGTAGGTTTGTAAACCCATGGTTAGATATCTTCTATTCTCTTGAGATTCTGCTCAGTAACCACTTGCTGGGCATATCTACATGAGACACAACTGCATGGTGGTTACTGTGCATGTATTTAGTACTTGATTATACAAGTACTCATGCAGATCATGCATTAACCAGAATTATTGCACAGTAGCTCTGGTGAACATCTTTTAGTGACACTACTGCACAGTAGCGTATTAATACTGTTAGTGCTGCGACATGCTACTGTGCGGTATTATTTGGCTACTGTGCAGTCGGTATCTTGTGTAGAAGTGCCCCCTGTTTATGAAAGTTACAGGCATAAAAATACATCAGCAGCATTCATTGAAAGTAAACAAGTATTGAAAGTCAAGCCTTGGCTGAAAAAAAACACTTCTATATTTCCTTA